ACCGGTTTTAGACTAGTCCGAGTAAAAGCGTCCAAAAATATCTTTACCTAGTCCTGTCTTTTCTCTCCTTAGAAACAAGGACTTTGAAAGTCTCAGAGAAAGGTGTACTCCCCTGTGTACAACTACATCTTCTCTGTACTTCTTTCTCCCCTGTGTACAACTACATCTTCTTTGTACTTCTTCTCCCTTGTGTACAACTACATCTTCTCCTTGTACCTTTCTTCCCCTGTGTACAACTACATCTTCCTCTGTACTTCTTCTCCCCTGTGTACAACTACATCTTCTTGACAAACTACATCTTCTCTGTAACTTCTTCTCTCCCTGTGTACAACTTCATCTTCTCTGTACTTCTTCTCCCCCTGTGTACAACCTACATCTTCTCCCTGTACTCTTCTTTTCTCCTGTGTACAACTAACATCTTCTCTGTACTTCTTCTCCCCCTGTGTACAACTCCATCTTCTCTGTGCTTCGTTTTTCTCCTCTTGTGTACTACTACCTCTTCTCCTGTACTCTCTTCTCTGTGTACAACTCGATCTTCTCTGTGCTCTTCTCTCCGTTGGTACAATTACTCATCTTTCTCTGTATTTCCTCTCCCCTGGTGTACAACTACATCTTCTCTGTACTTGTTCACCTAAACGTATTTTCAGAAGTCGAATGCAACAACAACCCGTCTCCCTACGCGACCGAGGCGCGGTACTACTGGGGCGAGTGGGTGGAACGACCCGAAACGTGGGTCGGCGAGACGCTTGCGACGCTCCCTCTGCTTTGAGAAGACGCGAGACCGTAGGGCTCAGACTCTCCCTCTGTTCAATGTGTACATCGTACGCCCTTGGCGACGCGTTCCCTCCCGGTGGTTAGGGAGGACAGGAGGACAGCTAGTACTCGGGGACTTCCTCCTCTCCCCCTGTTCAATTGTGTACACTCGTCCGAATCATTCTCTGCAAATGGGGACGACCGAACTAAAGATGACTCTAAACCTTTATGATTTCATAACGATGTTTTGGCTTGTGTAACCATTAGCCAATCAGCAACCAAGGTAACCCCACCTTATCACCTGAATCTCCTCCTAGAGCACTATTGAGTTCTTTTTAACCAAATGTCTCTCAGAGGGGCGTGGGGAGGGGCTCCTTATTTTCATCTAAAGCAACAGAAAGATAATCAGCACTTTTGAAACAGGGCTGAAACAGAGGGGACCTATATATATATCTGAGACCTGTGATATATTGATGAAGAACAGTATAATAGGAGACCTTTAAGAAGTAGTTTTGATAACTGTCAGGTGCAAGGCAAGGCAAGTTTATTTATAAAGCACCTTTCAACACAAGGCAATTAAAAGTGCTTTACAAAAATGAAACACATTTCAAACATTAAAAAGCAAAGATAATAAAACATGAATAACAGGTACATGAATAAAGGTTACACAGCAGTGTGAGATGTGAATAGTTCAATTAAAAGCAGCGGCAAAAAAAAAAGTCTTCATTTTTGTGTGAAATAAAGTAATATTTATGTTCAGTAATATTGCAGTTTTAGTGCTTTACTGATGAAATAAATCATGGTTTACGAGAGTTATTTGCTCTACGGAGGCAAAATCACGTTACCACTTTGAATTGCTTTAATTGTTAGCATGCTAATAAGTCAAACTAAGATTGTAAACATAGTTTTGTTGTAAATGTTTTTTATGTGTCATTTATGTTTTGTTGATCTTCAGAAAAACTGTAACATCTCTGATACAAATGTGCAGTGTGTGATTTTGGGCCACATACATTTTGATAAGCTACTTGCTAATCAAAAGCATGTTAGCATTGTCTTTGTTAGCATGTTAGCATGGTGACACAGCTGTACATACTGCAGCTAAGTACAGGCTCACAGAGCTGGCTCCATAATCACATTTCCTTTTAAGATGCAGTGGAAATGATAATTGTATTACTTGATATCAAGACTGTACGCTAATAGCTTTTCTGCATTGTGCACTCGTAAATTCTGCATCCTTTCCATTAGGGTTACATTAAAAAGAAGGTATACAATAGCTTTGACTCACAAGCCACACTCAATTCAATTACATTCAAATAGCTTTATTGGCAAAACCGTAATGACATACAAAGCTTTGTACAAATACGACATCTATACAATAGCATTTTAAACAAAAGCAAGAATAACATGTTTTCTTTACAAGACAATAAATAACATACTTTTTGAACATGAACTAGAATATTTATTTAAAAAAACAAGAAAAAACCCAGAGAAATAGAAAAGTTGAGATTAATGATGTATTATTATGCAGGATAAGGCTGATAATAAATGTGTTTAATACATTAAAATGTGCTCTCCCTCTCTCCCCCCTACAGGGTAAGACGGAGGAGGTGTCTCAGGGTGAGGCGGGGGTGCAGTGTGGATCAGGAGATTCAGGCGGATCTGTGGGAGACCCCTCGGAGGCCAAAGGGACCCCCAAACGCCTCCACGTCTCAAACATCCCTTTCCGCTTCCGGGACCCCGACCTCAGGCAGATGTTTGGGGTAAGAAAGTGGAGAATGTTGTTTTGTTTTTTTATAGCGACAATAAATCAGTCTAGACGCCCCGCGGGACCACCTGCTCACAAGGGGGTTTAATGACAGACGATATAATCAAACTACCACAAAGGAGAGACCCTCATGGGTGTTTTGTTGCTGCTTTAAGGGGACAACTGCCCGCTATGTGTGTTAGCATTTGTGTTAGCGTGAGTGGGACAATATCAGTCGAGTTATGTGCAGTTTTCTGGTAGAAAATAGAAAATAAAAAATAATCAACTAATTGTTCATGTTTTAATACGTTTATTGCTTCACTTATCACCAATCTTGGGATAATTTGTTGCATTTCTTTGTTTTATGAGATTCCAAATGTTATACACTGCATTCAAGAGAATAGAGAGAGAGAATTGGGAGGCATGAAACTTTAATGGTCTCACATGCAGAGCACACACAGTGAAATGTGTTCTCTGCTTTTAACCCATCCTAGTACCAGGAGTCTAGTACTAGGAGCAGTGGGCAGCTATTGTACAGCGCCCGGGGAGCAATGGGAGTGAGGGGGTGTCCGGTGCTTTGGGCAGGAGGTGAACTGGGACCTCTCCAAGTAGAAGTCCACACTCCATATTTTAGGTCTGGTCGGGGACTTGAACCGGCGACCCTACAGCTCCCAGTCCCTACTGACTGAGCCACTGCCACCAAAGGCATCACTTTTAAGAAATGCTGACGGGAATATTCATATTTTCTATTTAAGTACATTTCACTTGAGTAACAGAGTACGTCTTCTTGCTCCATGTAGGGGTAAATGTCTGTTTCAATGCAAAGACATGGAAGGAAACTCATTGAAATGTGTGCAGTTGTGTAACAGTGACACCTTGTGTTGTAACTCACACACTGTCACAAGATATCTAACACAACTCAAAGATGACTGTTTTCTCTGCTTATACTTGTTTGCTAACGTCTTCCCTTTTGATGTGTTTGCAGCAATACGGGAAGATTCTGGATGTAGAGATTATTTTCAATGAGAGGGGCTCAAAGGTAAGTGCACTGATGATGTTTTATTCCCTGAAACTACTCAACAGTTCTGACTCGATGTTAGCTGTAACATGTATTTCACACTTTGTAATACTTTTACACAAAAACACAGCTCTTTTTTGAGAGTATTTGAGTGTTTTTTGCCATTTTATAGGATTATTGTGGTTTTAATTAACAAAACTGGTGTTTATTGTGATTTTCTGTTTAACACAACTTCCACTTTGGTGTGTAGGATAATTGTCCATCAAATGTAATATTTAGCTTCTTTTGTATAAATCAAAACGTTCTTGAATATAGTTTTTTGATGACCATTCAGAATCTTAAAAGATACGACGCGTTTGAGGCCGGTGTTGAACCTACGTGCCAAAACAATTGATCTTACGTGACTAGATTTACTTCCTCACCACCAACACGATCTGTTATGTTCCGCAGGGTTTCGGCTTCGTGACGTTTGAGACCGGCGTGGACGCAGAGAGAGCCCGGGAAAAGCTCCACGGCACGTTGGTGGAAGGTCGTAAGATTGAGGTAATTTTCCTCCTCCCTCCTCCTCCTCCTCTTCCTCCTCCTTCTTCCTCTCTTCTATCTTCTCGTAATTCTGCTTGATCACTGACTGCTATCTAGCTCCCACCCTCCCTGTAGTGATATGCTCTGATGCGGCCCACTGGTTTCCCACTCCCTGGACCCATTCTTTTTTTAATTAAAAGACTTTGTTTTGTTTTTGTTTTTGTGGTGGGGGTGCAAGAACACTACATAAGGCATGCTGGGTACTTTTCCTCTGCAGCTTTTATTTTTCACATTAAGCTTTTCCTCCGCTCTCACTCGACTCGTAGCCACACTGATGTTTTTTTTATCGCAACATGTGAATGATGTGTGGGGGCACCGGAGGGCTCGGAGAGGAACGCAGTGGAAGGATAATGCATGGCAGATTGCCGTCTTTATTTCCCCCCCTTTTCCTTAGAGTAGAAATCCTTCTGTGTTCCCCTCTCTCCCCACGGTGCTAAGTGGTTGTGACAAGCTTCTGGCTCTGCAACAGCCGCATGCTGGGAATCACGGCGCATGTTCTCAAGTCTGGATTCTTTAGGTGCGTTCACATCGGACACGAAGCGAATGTTTTGAGCGTCGCGATTACATGTCAAGTCAATGCAGGGACGCGGATAGAGACGCAAATTAGTTCCGGGCAGCGCTAACGAACCAATCGTTTGTTCATCATTCAGCTTCATTCAAATTAAATAAAGCCAATTAGCGGAGAGAATCTCTCCCTGCTGTCGCTGACGTTGTTGAATCAGAAAGTCGTGTATCTGTGTTTATAAATCTACAAACCACAGACTGTCTCTGGTCGAATACAGTCGCTTCTATTTTGAGTCTGTACGGAGTAGCCACATGTTAGCTTAGCTTAGCCTGATCGAACCAATCCGAGTTTTTCGCCTATCTTTTTGATACTATTATTACAATTAAATCGAGGCAAGTTATGTTCATTTTGTTGTAATATTATGTATTTATTTCAATAAGGACCATGCATACAAATACATTAATCTCAAAAAACAGAAGAGATGAATTATGCCAGATTATAGCTAATGGTTAATTTCCATCTGCAGTCTTTAGGTAGGTACTGTTGATGACCAAACGCAAACCCACCTTTATCCCAAACAACTTCGACAAACAAACAGGACACCCCTTTTACAATGTAGTATTCTTATACTGAGACCTTTTCGCGTCTATCTCGGTGTTCTTTAATTCGTTGACGTCATAATTACAAATTTTCAACTAAATATCGCGTTAGTGAAAGTTCGAAACAATCAAGCGTCGCAAATTAACACGTTATTCAAGAACCTCTCGCCACCCCGCTTATTTGTAACTTGGTCCAGGCCGGGGGACCTGTCAATGGTAAAAAAATAAAACGCGGGGTGATACATAAACTCAAACTTGTGACTAACTAGAAAGGATAACAGGTAAATACCGCTCTTTGCTGTTGTTACAATCACCATTTAATCGTGGTAAATAAAAAAACTCTGGTGGTCCGACTATTCTCAACCACCCCTTAAAGTCTACGCTACGTTAACAGTCGTTTTTTCAGGTTAACCGGCTTGGAACTGACCGAAACGTAAAAAAAGTGGTACCTGCCGACACCCAACGATGTTACCCTGGTACGTTCTTTGGGCATTACGTGTGAAAGAGATGTCGGTCATAGACATCGTATCCTTACTTCGATACATAGAAATCGACCCTACAGGATTTCCAGTTCATTGTGTTCAGTTACTGTCGGTTTGTACACTCACTACATTACTCACTCTCAGTTCGAAAGTGGTAAACTTATAATCTCGTATGCGTGGTAGTATACTCACCCACCTCCTACGGAATATATATCTGGACATCCCCAGCAATATATCTTACTTACCACTACTCTACCCATCTCTTCGTACCATCTCTGTTTCACATCAACTCGGTGAATGTACCTAGTAAACCTTCGTGTGTCCTTTGGACTGAAGAAGTTTCGCGTCTCCAAAATTAGGTCTGTTTCTCTTCTTGGTAATACGTGTTTTAAGGGAAAGATAAAGCTACTTGTACGTCCGACGACTCGACACTCTTATTGCTATTGGCAAGGGTACCGTAAAGTGTTTCTTACTTCTTCACAGTCTGAGCTCAACTCAAAGGAAAAATATTAGTAAGTGGGTATGTGAGAGAGATTTTCGATCCAGAGTCGGAAAAAAGTCACTTCTCACTTCTGATCCTCCGTGGGTCCACGTTGACTTAAGTACGGTTCGACTTGTTTAGGGTAGTTGGTTCAAATGTTTTACCGGTGTGCCTATTTGTACGATCCTTTTATGTAGGCGACACAGTTATAGAGGTACTATTTTTATGGCTGGGTACGTCGGGATGCAGCTGATTAGAGTACGGTCACTTGAAGTGTCAGTGTGTGTTATTGGTAATTATATGTCATACGAAATTAAAGTCTAAAAGACTAAAATATCGAGAGTATTAAGTTGGATTGAGACTTTACTTTTGCTCGCTAAGTTCGCTCTCCAATAGTTGTAGACGGTCTTTCGTCTTTGCTGTACCGTAACGGAGTTTATCTTTAAAAAAAGAGGAGACAACTTCTTACCATATTTGTGACTAGGTCGCGGGCGGAAAACGAGGAGTTCGGGTACTGTTATTTGTCTGTCTTTCTCTGAGACGGAGGTCGATGTGGCTCACCTCCATGTTGTACGTTGCACTGCGGACTTTTGTTTCTGTTTGACGAAATACTAATTAGGGTGCTGACCCATATAGTACGTTTTGGCACACCTCCCTTTGTCCTCCATTACGGTCCCTCCTATATACAACCACACACTTGACTAACGTCACACTAGTTGAGGAGTCATAGGTAGTTGAACGACTAACCGACTCCCGCCATCCCTCTACAACTGTGGTCTCCTACCGTCCACCGACATAAAGTAAGTGCTGGTGATCATTTTTTTTTTCGGAAGTAGGCAGTACGTCCCTTGACTTGAGTTATGTGTGTGCTGTGTGTGTGTGACTGTGTGTGGTTGGGTGTGTGTGTGTGTGTGTGTGTGTGTGTGTGTGTGTGTGTGTGTGTGTGTTGTGTGGTGTGTGTGTGTGTGTGTCGTGTGTGTGTGTGTGTGTGTGTTGTGTGTGTGTGTGTGTGTGTGTGTGTGTGTGTGTGGTGTGTGTGTGTGTGTGTGTGTGTGTGTGGTGCAACTTTAGTGGTGTCATTCGGGTACGTTTAGGACCGAATGTCGCTGCAACCCAGTGCTATGGTTTTGAAACGACTACTGTGGGGTTTTTGAGTGTACGAAGTCATTGTTTGTTACACAATCCTTTTTGAATTCGTATGTACCTAAGTGTATGCCCCTTTTTAGAGAACTCACGCAGGTGGCTTGCGATTTGCCTCTAGCGGCCCGATAGTCACACAAATGAGCACAGTGAGTTTGTTTTACGCGACCACACCTCCGCCCATATAGAATG